TGGACCAGATGACTTTTCATTGTGGGGGCTGCACTGTGCACTGTAGGATATGGAGAGGCACTTCCTGCCAGCGGTACTCTCTTCCCAGTCTTGTCAACCAAAAATACTTCCAGATATTGTCAAATGTCCCTGGGGGTGGGAGGTGCAAAACTACCCTGATTAAAAATCACGGGCTTTACCAAAGTGCAGAGGCTTTATAAGAGTAGTAACAGTTAAAGCTATAAAGACAGATGAGAGACACCTTACAGGGAGTTTGACAGCAGACTAAGTGTTAGGGATAAACTGCCTTAGAAAACCCCCTCTGTGCTAGCTGGCCCCTTCCCCCAACTCTGCTTGCTCTGCAGCTGCATTCCTGAACTCCTGGCTAGGCCCCATATCAAGGCTGCCAGACCTGCTACAATTAAGCAAAGCCTCATTACAGTCATCCGGGCAGCTCGGAGAAGGTCAAGGAAAACAAATGTTTGTTATCCATACCTGTAAATTCCTGTAAAATCCTGTTTTCTAAACTGCTGCCAGAAAAGTCACAGGATGATGTATTCTAAATCTGTCACAAGTCAACAAACCATCTCTGTGCCTGTTACAAGCTGATAAGATCACCTCAGTCCTGAAACTCCCTTACAGCCCTCTTACCCCATATAAACCCCTCATTTTGTAAGCTTGGGGCTGCCTCCTCTGACAGTTACAGAGCAGCCAGGCAGGGTAATAAAACTTGCTTACCAGACTTTGGGTCTATTCTTTCTCTTGGCTGACCTTACGCTAAGGACTTAACAAAAGATCTGGAAGTGTCAATGTAGGTTTTTAGCAGTAAAGGGTTGTCACGGCATTAGTCCACAGGGCCCCCTGACACTCCTAGCTGGAATACAGACTGGAAAACCACTTATCTGCAGGGTAATTTGTAAGTCAAACGTGCTTAGCCTTTGCTGCAATAATTTTACTTCCAGGGATACACCCTACAGAAAAGCACAGATAGGCAAGGACAGAGGTAACAAGAGAGTCTCAAGAGCATTGTCTGTAACAGCAAAAACTAGAGTCAACCACATAGCTATCACCGCAAGACTTGGAAAACACATTCTGTGCATCCGCGTAATAGAATACTACACAGTGCCATTAAAATATGCAATAGATGTATATATATTGAAGGTGCAAGATGCCCAAGCCACACCGTGAAGTGACAAAAGCAAGCTGCTTGTAGAGTAAGAAAGCAAACACAATAAACATACATGTGGAAATGCTTCTGTGTACTGAGTATGTTTATCTAATAAATATTTATCAGGTAGGCCAGGCGCAGTGGCTCACACCTGTAAACCCAGCACTTGAAGCCGGGAGTTCGGGACCAGCCTGGCCAACATGGTGAAACACCGACCCTCCTAAAAATACAAATTAAAAAATTAGCCAGGTGTGGTGGCCAATGCCTGTAATCCCAGCTACTCAGAAGGCTGAAGCATGAGAATTGCTTGAACCCGGGAGGCAGAGGTTGCATTGAGCCCATGGCAACACAGTGAGACTGTCTTAAAAAATAAAAAGAAAAAAAGAAAAGAAAAAGCAAACCTTTCGTTTTCACAAACTGCTCAGGCACAATGAGCCTATTGGATGAACAATTTAAAAGAGACCAGTTGGGGCATCAATCAGCTTGAGGGGATTAGTAAGGGGGAGGAGGGGAGGGCCAGAAGCTTTACTGGAAGCTGTGTTTGCACTGTAAGCACACTGTTAGTATGTGTGTGTTTTTTCCCCCAGATCAATGAAAACCACAGTTTTATGAAGGTATTTTTATTCCCTTTACACAGGCTTCTTAATCTTGGGAAGCTGGATTTAAGGGGCCATTGGAGATGAGGGGTGGAGCCAAATCCCCTTAAGCCATCCTTGGCCATGGTCACAGATGACTGCTCAAATTCTTTGCTCATTTGGAATTAATGAAGCTTCCATTCAGAGCATATTCTGAATACTTCTAGTCAAAGTGCTCAGGTCTTGTTCTGGATAAATGGTTCTCGGTGAAAACATCAAGGATGCCCCAATTAGGTCTCAATGCTTCTTAAAAATAACAAATGAGGCCAAGCACAGTGGGTCACATCTGTAATCCCAGCACTTTGGGAGGCCGAGGCGGGTGGATCATCTGAGGTTAGGAGTTCCAGACCAGTCAGGCCAACATGGCAAAACCCCGTCTCTACCAAAAATACAAAAATTAGCCAGGCTGGGTGGCGCATGCCTGTAATCCCAGCTACTCAGGAGGCTGAGATAGGAGCCTTCCTCCACCAATGAAAAAAGCTACCTTTAGTCAATCAGAAATTGAGGGCAGGATTCTCAGTCCTTGGGGTTTCAGGCCTCCACCTCTTCCACAACAAATCTGTATCCTCCTGTAGCTTCTTTTCTGGCTGCCATTAGGCTGGGAGCTACACCTGCCTTCCACTGCCCAGTGATTTGCCCTCCCTGGCTAGCAGCAGCTCTAGAGAGAGCAGTGCCTGTGGCTGGATATTGCTCTGGCCTAATAAATGTGCACCTGCCAGAGCTCTGGTACCCACAAATCCTTTCTGCCTGAGCAGCTACTGTGGCCCTGGCTCAGTCAGAGCAGCCCGGCCTCCCAGCTGAGGCCCCCTATCCACTACCCACTGCCAGCTCATCCCTAAGCCACAGCACAGGACCATGCTTCTCTTCCAAAGCAGAAAGACCATTTTCTATCCCAGAGTCCTCACCTGCCACTCCCAAATCAGTCTGACCCTCTGACCACCCAAACACCTAGTCTGCAGAAAGTTCTATGATGGCACCAGGAATTCACTGCCCCAAAGGGGACAAACGCGATGCAAACCTGCCTCCGAAAACTCAAAACAATCTTCACCTGGCTGCTGTCTGCCCCTATTGACCTGAGACTAGCCGTCGGACCCTGCTATCCAGGGCTTCTGCTGGAGCTGCCAAAGTTTTAGGGGTAAGCTGTGCTTTCTGCAGTAGTAACTCAAGGCACTGCTGGAGCTTGGGTTTCTACCAGCTGCCCCAGAACCACTGAGGCCTTAAGCTGGGAGGCAAAGCTTTAATCTGCCAGAAACATGCTAAGCTGGTAACTTCCAGGAAAGCAGGTTGGAACACAGGTGTGCCATCCAACTGCTAAGGCTGAATATTATACGCTTACTATTCCTATGTTAAACCCAACTTCACAATCCTGTTGGGTTTAACATAGGAATAGTAAGGGTACATTACTCATAATAATAGTAAGAGAAGTAATCATAGCAATAATAGTAAGAGAAGTATCAAGAGATTGAGAAGAGATTCTCATGTGATGACATGGTGAGAAGGCAGCCATCTGCAAGTCAGGAAGAGAGAGGGTCTTCACCAGAACCCAACACCCTGGCACCCTAATCTCACACTTCCAGCCTCCAGAACTAGGAGACATTGCCTGCTTTTAAAGACAGCTAGTCTGTGGTATTTTGTTATGGCGGCCCATGCTAAGATAAAAATGTCACGCATCCCCATTTCCCTAGAAGCACGGCCCCTGTCCCAGGAGGCCTGCTAAGCCACCAATCCACATCTCTGTTTTCCAAAAAGCTTCAAGGCCAATTTGTAAACAGCGCCTGGCATACACAGCAGGCCAGCATTCTGAGAAGGGGAGGCGTGCCGCACCCCCAGAACCCTGAGCCACATTCATTAGCTCCTTCCTACATATTTTATATAGCATCACTAAAGTCACTTCAAGTAAGAAAAAAAGAGGTTTGATTAGAGATGAGTAGAGTACGCTTATATATAAACCACTTTCACATGGATGAGGTTATTATAGGACTCTAAACAGCAAAAGCAAACGTGGATCTTTTTAAACGCTTTTTAAACGCTTTTTAAAAAACTAAGTGATTTCCCTTTAATCTACTGCACCTTAATTGCCATCTACTTAGTAGCTATTTATCGATCATCATACAGTACTTTTCATCTCACTGGCTCAAAACTCTCTCAGAATCTTTGTCTACATATCTTACAGTATTTCTTTGTTCACTGCTTTAAAGCAAGTACATTACTTCAGCTTTGTTTACTCTGGCAGCTAAAGGCACATTATCTCCCCATGGTGAAGTACAAATCAGGTAATTAATCTGTAATACAACATGATATGGGAAAATTAGATTAAGCATTGTGGAAGAATGGGCTCCCAAAGGTGTTCGCATCCCCTTCTTCAAAACCTGTGAATAGATTACCTTACGTGGCAAAAGGGACATTGTGGTGATTAAATTAAGGATCTTGCAAAAGGAGACTGTCTTGGGTTTTCCAGTTAGGCCTAATGTAATCACGAGAGTCTTTGTAAGAGGGAAGCAGGAGGTCAGGGTCAGAAAGATTTGAAGATGTCATGCTGCTGGCTTTGAAGAAGAGGAGGAGGCCACGCATCAAGGAATGTAGGTGGCCTCTAGAAACTGGAAAAGGCAAGGAAAGAAATTCTTCCTAGAGCCTCCAGAAGGGACACAGTCCTGCTACACCTTGGTTTTAGCCCAGACACACCCAATTTGGACTTCTGACCTCCATAACTGTAAGACAATAAAATCTGTATGACTTTAAGCTGCTGAATGTGTGGAGTTAATTACAGCAGCAATAGCAGAATCATAAAAACACTAACAAGTTAATCACTAATCAGTCAAATATACATTGACCTCATTCTCTATGCTGACACATCGGTGAAAAACAAAAAAAAAGAACCTAAGATTCTGACCCTAAAAGATATTTGAGGATTTGCTTGAGGACGTATTTTTAGACAGACCTATCTTTAAGGTACATATTCAGAGAGATATTGCACTGAAAGAGAACACACACAGAGAGCAGAATCCTCTAGTGGATTCTGTATTAACAGAAGGGTCTATAACAGCCGGATCCCTGGGCTCTAACCTCCACAGCCAAGTCACTTGACTCCTAACCAAGGCCTCAAGACCACCCTGGCCCCAAACTGCAGCAATGGAAAGAACCTGAGCCAAGCGGGCAGCACAATGCTCAGCACGCAGCCCTCCTTCCAGCTGGCCCCACTCTAATCTGTGTTCCAGCCAAACAACTGGGTCAGCAAGGCCACTTTCTCTTCTGGGGTTCTAAGTAGACCACATGAGTCCTCCTGGGGGTTAAGAGTCTTATGTAGTTTTGGCAGGGCGAGGTGGCTCATGCCTGTAATCCCAGCATTTTAGGAGGCCAAGGTGGGTAGATCACCGGAGGTCAGCAGTTCGAGGCCAGCCTGGACAACATGGTGAAACCTTGACTACCAAAAGTACAAAAATTAGCCAGGAGTGATGTCACCTCCTGTAATCCCAGCTACTCGGGATGCTGAGGCAGGAGAATCGCTTGAACCTGAGAGGCAGAGGTTGCAGTGTGCCAAAATTGCACCATTGCACACCAGCCTGGGCGACAGAGCAAGACTGCATCTCAAAAAAAAAAAAAAAAAAGTTTTCTGTAGTCCTGCAACTCTATGCTGAAGCTGGGCTGCCTTAATACTAACTGCCCATCAGCCTGCAGCTCTGCACGCCATCCACTGGGAGACCCCTCTCTTACCAAAGCTCACCTCCCTGCCTGGAGGTCCAACTGTCTCCACTCCCCCCTAACAAGATGACGTGCCCACTGAACTACCAACTGTAATCGACCACCTCTCTCTGGATACTGCCTTCCTGCTCCTCCTTGATTCTTGGAGGTGCCCCTGGCCTGCCTCACCTTAGTGGTCTCTGGGTCCTAGCCTGACCAGACCTCTGTCCTGATGGGGCCTTCCATTTATTCTCCATGCAAAGCCGGTAGGTTTCTTCAAAGTTTCTTCTTTGTACAAAGGTTTATTCTCAGGATGATGCAAATATTCTCAAATTAATTGTGCTAATGGTTGTATAACTCTGTAAATATACTAAAAACCACTGGATTGTACACTTAAAAAGTCAGAATCATCCCATCTCTGCTCAAAACCCCCTAGCAGAGTGCTCCAGGATCCGCCCTCCTCTCCTCCTCTCTGCTTTGCGCACTTAGTCCCTCCAGGTACCCTGACCTCCTCAGTGTTTCCTCTGCAGGCTCTTGCTCCAGGCCCTCTGAATCTGCTGCTCCCTGGCCTAGAACACTTGTTCTTCCCACAATAGCTGTTGGCTCATTCCTCACTTCCTTCAGATTTTGACTCCAATGTTATCACCATCGAGGGCCTCCCCATCGCCTTATAGCAAACAGCATCCCACTCCTGCACCACACAGGCCCTGCCAATTCCCAGGCCCTTCACCACCAGCTGTTTTGTTTCTTGTCTCTCTCTCCCCATTGGAATGAAAGTTCCATGTGGGAAGGGGCTTTGTTTTGTTACTAACAAAATCTTGACTTGGTGCCTAGAAAACAACAGGTACACAATCAACACTGAGCAAATATTTTTTGAGTGAATGAATAAATGATGGTCCAAGTATGACCAGTCTTGATTTCAACAAGGACAACACAAAAACATTACTGGGTTTTTAATTATCACAAGATCTAATTTGACACTGATTTAGTGAAATGAAATCTGTATCTTCAGAAGATGAATGTCATTCCTGATACAAGACAAAGATGTCAGTTTCTTGGTTTTGAGATTTGTTAAAAATGACAATAAAGGAATTTTGTTAACCTGCATTTGCAGTTTAGTCATTTATTTATATTTATTTATTTATTTATTTAGAGACAGAGTCTCACTCTGTGGCCCTGGTGGGAGTGCAGTGGCACAATGCTGGCTCACTGCAACCTCCCACTCCTGGGTTCAAGCGATTCTCCTGCCTCAGCCTCCCTAGTACCTGGAATTATAGGCATGCACCACCATGCCTGGCAATTTTTTGTATTTTTAGTAGAGATGGGGTTTCACCACGGTGGCCAGGCTGGTCTCGAACTCCTGACTTCAGGTGATCCACCCAGTTCAGCCACCCCAAGTGGTGGGATTACAGGTGCGAGCCACTGCAAACGTCGTTTAGGTGTCTACCTAACCCTCCTTAGGTAAATGGCTAAACTCCAAATACAGATAAAAAAGAAAAAATTGGCTGGGCGTGGTGGCTCACGCCTGTAATCTCAGCACTTTGAGAGGCTGAGGCAGGTGGATCACCTGAGGTGGGGAGTTAAAGACCAGCCTGACCAACATGGAGAAACCCCGTCTCTACTAAAAACACAGAATTAGCCAGGCATGGTGGTGCATGCCTGTAACCCCAGCTACTTGGAGTCTGAGGCAGGAGAATTGCTTGAACCCAGAAGGTGAAGGTTGCAGTGAGTGGAGATCGTGCCATTGCACTCCAGCTTGGGTAACAGGAGCTAGACTCTGCCTCAAAAAAAGAAAAAAACAATAGAGAAAAAATCAATTCAGTGCTTCCTGGTATACATAAATATGTCAGAATACTTCACAACAATGATTCTGCCATAATGAGTTGGCATAAACTCCAAGTAACCTTTTCTGTGGGGCCAAAATACAAATACACCAGATTCAGGACAATGAATGCAATTTCTATTCAACAGACTTTGGTGTCTCAAATAGGATATAACTTCATGCATGTATTATGCCCATCATTCCTGCTAAAGATGAGACACAGCAGGGAGGTTATGTGTTTACTGACAAATTCTGACCTAGTTAGGGTCAAGGACTAGGCCTCACACCTGCTCATACCCGCAGACTGGAGCCTGCACTTGGCCAAACGTAAACTTACTGAATCAACAATCTCTGGTAATCAATACCCTAAGTTACATATCCATAACAATAATCATAAACTCAAGTACATATTGAAGTTTAAGATTTTCAGAAAAAGGCCGGGTGCAGTGTCTCATGCCTATAATCCCAGCACTTTGGGAGGCTGAGGTGGGTGGATCACGAGGTCAAGAGATAGAGACCATCCTGGTCAACAAGGTGAAACCCGTCTCTACTAAAAATACAAAAGTTAGCTGGGCATGGTGGCGCGCACCTGTAATCCCAGCTACTCGGGAGGCTGAGGCAGGAAAATTGCTTGAACCCAGGAGGCAGAGGTTGCGGTGAGCCGAGATCGTGCCATTGCACTCCAGCCTGGGTAACAAGAGCAAAACTCCATCTCAAAAAAAAAAAAGAAACTCTGAAGGTAAAACAATTCGCACGGCTACAAATTATCTACTGTGACATATTAAACCTATCCCAAATCCACTTATCTCAATCTTTTCTTAATGAAAGGGAAGTAAAAACCAGAAAGACTCAACTGACTATTCACTTCCTACTTATCACCCTACCTATGATGTTTAATTAAGAGAGGATGCAGGTACCCTTACAGTAGAGAGTTCTGATAGACACTATCTTCACCAAATGAGAAAACTTAGTAGTATCAATGAAGATACAAGCTGACATTCAGTGACTCTTTTTGTTTTGTTTTTAGATGGAGTCTCATTCTGTCACCCAGACTGGAGTACAGTGGCACAATCTTGGCTCACTGAAACCTCTGACTCCTGGGTTCAAGAGATTCTTGTGCTTTCCCCTGGCTGGCAGCGCGGAGGCCACACAATGCCTGGAGTTACTGTAAAAGACGTGAACCAGCAGGAGTTCGTCAGAGCTCTGGCAGCCTTTCTAAAAAGGCCGGGAAGCTGAAAGTCCCTGAATGGGTGGACACTGTCAAGCTGGCTAAGCACAAAGAGCTTGCTCCCTACGATGAGAACTGGTTCTACACGCGAGCTGCTTCCACAGCACAGCACCTATACCTCCGGGGTGGTGCTGGGGTTGGCTCCATGACCAAGATCTATGGGGGACATCAGAGAAATGGCGTCATGCCGAGCCACTTCAGCCAAGGCTCCAAGAGTGTGGCCCAACGGGTCCTCCAAGCCCTGGAGGGGCTGCAAATGGTGGAAAAGGACCAAGATGGGGGCTACAAACTGACACCTCAGGGACAGAGAGATATGGACAGAATCGCCGGACAGGTGGCAGCTGCCAACAAGAAGCATTAGAACAAATCATCCTGCCGGGCGCGGTGGCTCAAGCCTGTAATCCCAGCACTTTGGGAGGCTGAGGCGGGTGGATCACGAGGTCAAGAGATCGAGACCATCCTGGTCAACATGGTGAAACCCCGTCTCTACTAAGAAAAATACAAAAAATTAGCTGGGCATGGTGGCACGTGCCTGCAATCCCAGCTACTCAGGAGGCTGACGCAGGAGAATTGCCTGAACCCAGGAGACGGAGGTTGCGGTGAGCCGAGATCGCGCCATTGCACTCCAGCCTGGGTAACAAGAGCGAAACTCCGTCTCAAAAAAAAAAAAAAAAAAAAGAACAAATCATCCTGGGTTAATAAATTGCCTCATTCGTAAAAAAAAAAAAAAAAAGAAAAGAAAAGAGATTCTCCAGTCTCAGCATCCCGAGCAGCTGGGATTACAGGGCACACACCACTACGCCTATTTTTGTATTTTTAGTAGAGACAAGGTTTTGCCATGTTGGCCAGGCTGGTCTTGAACTCCTTACCTCAGGTGATCCGCCTGCCTCAGTCTCCCAAAGTGCTGGGATTACAGGCGTGAAGTCACCTTGCTGGGCTGACATTCAATATTTCTTGATGTGATGTACTGGTAAGTGTACATCACCTAGGTGGATAGAGTTCTGACCAAAAATGTTTAATCTAAATCTAATCATGAAGAAAATCTAATGAACCCAGATTGTAAAACAGTCTATAAAACAATTCACATGAACTCTTCCAAAATGTCCATCTTAGGAAATTCAAACAAGGAAAGAACTGTTTTAGTTAAATGAAACTAAAGAGACTGGACAACTTAATGCAATGTGTGAACCTTAGATCATGGAATTTTTTAATATTCCACATAAACTATATTCCACATAAAAATGTCCACATAAAATATGTGGACAATTGGGGAAATTTAAACAAGGCCCATACATTAGATAACAATATTCTATCATGTTAAATTTCTTGGATATTATATGGTTTTGTGGTTATTACAGAAAATGTTTTTTAGACAATACATGCTAAGATATCAGGCATCAAGTGTTATATGATTTCTGCAACTTTGTACTGAATGACTCCAGAGTTGAAAAGGGATATATGACACACAACTAAGTGTGATATACATATATATATATATGATACATGTGATTATATATATATTTATATACACGTATATATATAGAGAGAGAGAGCGCCCGCGCGCGCGACAAACTATCACAATATAACCAAATCTAAGTAAAGGGCACATGGGTACTTGTCCTGTTCGCTCAATTCTTCGGCAGGCTTACAATTTTTCAGGAAAGGGGAAAAATTAAGGAAACAAAAACAGATTAATCTGGTCCCAATAGTGCCTCCAGATTGAATGAACATTTTTCACATAGGGACCCCAGAATACCATCAATTTTTTGATATCACTGTCAAAAGCGATCCTGGCACCTTCTGATATAAAGTGAGCTCCCAGATTCTCTTTTCAGGCATGACCACAAGTTAACATCTGCATCAGACCCCAACCTGCCTGATTACTTTACCAGCGACTTCACAGTCCCCACCAGGAAAAACCCTGGGCACATAATCACACTGCAAGTCCCAGGTATCCGCTGAACGGCGCC